TGTATCTTTCTCGTTCGTAAAGGCATGATGAACATCATGTGCCTCTATAAATCAATCAAGCCGCGTACCATGTACCAACCAGGAAAGCATGAGGCTTCAGCTTCCCCCATTACTATCCAGCACAACCAGTGAAGCACTTTGAAAGCGTGATGAACATCATATATAGGACCGACATAACCGAGTATGGAAACAAAGTTGCTACCAGAGATGCCAATGAACAGAAACCAGACAAGGTCATACAGTGGCCAACCTTACTCGCATATGTTGGAGATGAAATTTTTTGAAACAATCTCAGCTTTGCCTCGTACAAGAGGCAACACAGGAGCAAACTAGTAATGACAACACACATGGTTTTGAGGTGGGTTTCAAATGGAGTTTCATCCTTTCCTTGAAACTTCAACTCCGTGAGACTGATGACCACCAAGATAGTAAAGGCGAGAATGGCACTATGTAGAGGGGAAGTATGTTGTTCTTCTGAGAAATGAATCTCATATCGATGGAGACAGCGTTAAACTGCACGGAGAAGCTTGTCGATCCACAAAGAAAGAAGGTTGTTCATGTTGTTTCGGCCATCAATAAATACCACATCCCACAGAAGACTGAAAAAACTTGTTTTATAGTAGGAAAACAATTCTAGAGTACATGTTAGAGTCGGAAACATTAATTCACGTACTTGATCCTAAAAATTATATAGTCAAGACCTAATTGAGTTGAGTTGTATATAGAGCTAATAATTGAGCAAAACTATTCAAATTCAGCTTGGGTTCGGCTCGTTCGAGTCGAGTTTAAACAATTGTTTAATCTTGTTTAGAAAACGAACTTAAAAAACTCAGCTCAAATTTAGATTTGGCTCGGTTTGAACTTAGCTCGTTTTCTAAAAGAGTCGAATTTAAACAATTTTTTAAATTCATTTTTTTAGCTTGATTCAATTATGAGGTCTAATTATATACAAGATTAAGAAATGGATAAGGTGATCTTAGAAGTCGTTGTCTCCCTTAACAGAATTGGATTTTTCATATGGGTACTACGGCATCATTTTTACACCTTTTATTGCGAATATTGTGCATGTAGGTGGGAAAATCCACTCAAAATCCTGGTTACTTTACCCATATTTGTTTACTTTTACTTTGTGAAAGCAACATCACTGCCCAGTATGGACAAATCACTCTATTATTGTGACATTGCTTCCAAAACAAATTTAAAATAAAAAATAAACGACAAAATCCATATAATAAAATAGAAAGTTCACGAAATATAAGTATAGCAACGGTCTAAATCACTTGCATCCAACAACTAATTTATAATTTGTATTTTGATTTCCTTACCACAATAAATTTATTTATTTATATTTTAATTTTTTAGCCTGAATAAATCTATTTACTTGTATTTTAGCCACTCACTCAAATTTTGACTGAAATAATAAAATAAAATAAATGAATACAAACTTGTCGTGTAGCAAAGTAGCTGTCCTCGGGTTAGAACTTACAATCTCAATATTATTATTGTAAATTTATGATCAACTCAAGTAACCCTAAAAATTATAAATAACTCTCAAAATTTATAAAAAAAAAATCATAAAATCTATAATTGGTGGTATGGTACTAACCCTTTTTTTGCTTAATAGGGAAGTGAGCCCGTGAAAGTATGGTATTAAATGCATGAAACAAATTAAAAAAATACCTTATTTAGTCCTTATTAGTAGCGGGGGTTTAAGATTTATAAAAATTTAGAAAGAATAGATTGTGCACAGACTTAAACATATTGACATTATTTACATAAAAAATCTTTGTTCTCGAGTTCGAGGGTAAAATACCAAAGCCAATACCAAGAAATAAATTGATAGGAGGGAGTGTACCTTCCATTAGATTTTAGAGCAAAGTGAAATCAAACGTAATAGTTGATGGGTTAAGAGAGAAAGTCAAATTGGGATCATAATCAAATGCCCAGAATATAATTCTCCTCCAAACATCCATTGGGAGACCACATATGACTACTACCTAGGAAACAAAAGATTAATATGGCCAAATTCCATGACTAGACAAGTCACCATCGAATAAACAATTTCGTGGAAACTTTCTTGTCCTGTGCTTCGGTCAAAGTCTTCATAGACACCTACAAAAATGGCAAGGCACAGAAAAAAACAAACAATATTATTTAGATTTAAAATATTAATTTAATTTATTAACATAATTAATTAAATTACAGATCCTAAAAATACAGGGTAGAGTTGTATTAGGACTCTTTGTCCTAGGTCGTTATCACGAGAAAATATTCATAACAACTATGATATCACATGACAATGTGATATAGTATCACCAACTAATTATATTATACCATAAGTATTCATATTTAGACCTAAAAATCTGACTTAATTTGTTAACATAATGATATGGTTTCAATAGAACCATTAGATCAACACCAAGCTCCAATTAACTTGAGTCCATCAAGGACTGTGTAACGGCGAAAACGGAGCTATAGGTGGAATGTCCTAAAAATCCGTTGGTAGTGTGGTGCTCGTTTGGTGAAATGCCATAAACAGAGGTGACCTTAGACATTTTGGGACCTAAAATAGAAATACTGAGATCTTTTTAATATGTAATTTTTATTTTTTTAAAATACAAAAATATTAATTAAATTCTTATATTCAAGTTTTTATTATCATATTTAATGGTAAGAGAAAGAAATAATTGAAAATTCATGATGGTAAATTTAAACTTGACTTTTTTTAGGGTTAAAACTAGATTTTTTAGCAGTTTTAGTTTTATAGTTAGTTTTTTTTTCTTTATTTGAAAAAATAAATTTTAGGCCTATTTTAATTTTATAGCTGAATTAATAGGCCCAACCTACTTAAGTTGAAATATTTTGTTTGGACATGAATTTAAATTTTGGGTGAAAATTGAGATTGAGTAATTCTAGATGGACTTATATTGACTTAAGTCCGTCAAATAAACTTATTCAGTGATTAGTTCGTTTTTTATCTTAATAATAAGTAATTAAGTCCACTATCTTTTTAAAACTCCAAAATACCCTTCTTATTATGTTTCAAGACTATTAGATTTTAGTTTTGTTTCCTAATTGAGAAACATTGAGGCTCTTTACCCCTTAATTCGTGCTCATAAGATTTGACCATAAAATTTAAAATTCAAATTCATGATCCACACATTATTCTAGTTAATCCCCAACAATTTTGAGTTTTTTCTTCACCACCATGAAGGAAGATGTTGCCGTCGAAGCTCACCACAAATAAAGCTCTTGATTCCATTAATATGCACCCACCATGAGCAGAGCTTTGATTCCACCTAAATTGCCCTCAGATTTTATGGAAATGCCAAGTAAAATTGTGCACTAACTTGGATTCAACCAAGGCCCCGAAGAGAGTGAATATGTTTACATTCGTATATGTGGATCGAGTTACGTTGTCCTGCTATTGTTGTTTGTTAAGGTTGCTATTGTGTTGTTTATTCTTACTTACCTATATGTTTCTTTATTATTTCTCAAACTTTTATTTGAGAAGTACTGTGTTAGGCCTAAAGATATATATTAAACTACAATAATATTTGTAAACTATATTTGTCATTTTATTCATATTAAACTTTTTATAGGTGAATGTGTGCATATATGCATATAATATGACACTATCAAAGTGCTTCCGCTCTCAAATTTTTTATATATTGATGTCTTTGCGCTCTTGTTTCCGTTTCCAAACACGACATGACACATTTATCACCCTCGAATCCCATCATTCTCAAAGAAATGAAAGCTAAAAAAAATAAATAAATTTATTATATTACGTATCACGCAGGATCAACTTAGTTTTAGCCTCGGGTGATCACTTGGTTGACCTGTCAGAGTCTAATATTAGGTCAACTAAATTTGTACGTTGTTAACTAACTGGGGTAGCTTAGTTCGTTAGAGTTTCTAGGTTGCCAATGGGACGTCAGGGATTCGAAGTTCTCTGGGCACAATAGTAGGACAAGGTTTCTGTTGTTTGGACGAACCGTACGAAGGTTTTGGTATAGGTCTTGAGTTCCCGGTAAAACGCAAGTCCTGATTTAAATGGTGAATGAGTTAAAAAATTGGTTTATACCCCGGACTTTGCCATTGATTTTACTTAGAATTACGGGTCTGATCGATATAAGCGCGTCTCTACTCACTGAAAATAGACCACAAAATTTCTCCGTTGTTGAATTTTTAAATTTAATGGGTTGAAAACGTTAATTTATCACAAATTCATTCTCTTCTCAAATTTTAGATTCCCGTGCGGAGAGATACAACGTGACTCAGCATGTCACTCAGGTTGTGAAAGTGAATCAGAGCCATACAAATATTTATGTAATTCAATAAAATTCTATCTGTATCCATAAGTAATAAATAACAAAGAGTTCTTCAATTTGATGGGGCCTGCCTTGGGCATGAAAGTCGGTGTTATGCTAACAAAAAAAATATTTCTTTCATAGTGACTCTTGTCATCGTGAGACTTTTGGTTATTTCTCTGATAAAGGAAAAGGGAGCGGTGATGAGGAAAGAACACTAATATTAATAAATGCACGCCCATCTCATCATAGTTATTTACAATCATATTACGATAGAGTTTGCAATCAGAATGAAAATACTGTAACTTTCAACAACATTACAATACATTACAGCAGTGACTTATATGACCGAGTGCATGAACAGTTAGACTGGAAGTCTACCCCTTTGGGGCGTAAAAGCCTGCGACCTCTGCATCAGTGAATTGATCGGGAAAACCAATTGAATCAATTTGCCTGCCGAAAGCACGACAAATGTCGCATACACGACCGGCCTAATCAAGTCTGGGAATAAAGTTGATACTAGAGATGTCAAAGACAATGAACCAAACAATGTCGCACTGTGGCCAGCAAAATGGGCACATGTTGGAGATGGAAATTTTGAAAAAAATCTCCACTTTAGTTCATAAAATAGACAATGCAAGAGCAAACTTGTGATGGCGACCCACATTGTCTTCGAGTGAGTCTCAAATGGCGTTTCGGCGTCTCCTTGGCATGAGTGTCGGAACAATAAATCGCATGGTACGAAGGGGAAGTACGACGATACTGTTCCAAAAAATTAAACCTCATGTCAATGGAAGCAGCGTTAAATTCTCCATAGAAGCTTGTGGATCTATGGTGAAAGAAGGCTGGTCTTGCTGTGTTGGCCATGGCAGTAAGAAGTGGAGAAGGAGGTTTAAACAATCACTCTTTCAGTCTTTCTCCTTAATCAGCAGAGTTGATTGGATTCTATAACATTGATATGGATTTTTATAGGCGAATCTTGTGGCATGTGTCTTCTTTAATGACATTATAAATTCAAAGTGATTAGGTTTCTGCTTTTTGTGGAGACAAACTGTCATGAAAGTTAGAATCAGAACACTATCTACCTGGGCAGGAGCGAATTGTTGTTTACTACTGAATCATAAGAATAATATGGCCAAATTCCATGACTAGACAAGTCACCATCTACTAAACAATTTGGTGGAAACTTTCTTGTCCTGTGCTTCAGTCAAAGTCTTCATAGACAACTACAAAAATGGCCTGGCAAAGAAAAAACAAACAATCTTACTTGATTTTAAAATATTAATTTAATTTATTTGCTTAATTAATTAATTATTATTAATTTAATTGTGAGTCTCAATATTTATTATAACTCATTACTTATTTAAGAGTTATGATTGATTAAGTCAATAAATCATATTAATATTTTAAGTTTAAATAATATTTTTTGGAACAAATTGTTTCCCACCTTTTCTCTCTCGTCACTTAGAATACGAACCTTTTTAGCACTATGTGTATCCCAACTGGGGTCCCAATTATAAGAACTGCTTATACATACTGACAAATCTGCTTACATTGATGTGTAATTGACGACTCATCAACCCATTCAAGCGTGCAAGGGTGTAGGCTGTTTTTTAAAGACAAAGCCATAACCCTAACATATATACTTCCAAGGAGTTGGCAAGACAGCCAATGATTTCAGACCCCCACCCACCCACATTACAATGACCTAACACTGAGCATATTGTTTTTTTTTGGTCAGACCTAATATATACTGACCTTTGAGTTCTTTATTTAAAGCTCTATATTCTGACTTTCATTCACACCATGTCATTGTTTACTGTGATTGTTATTTTATACCTATTGAATGCGTCTGAAGGTACAGAATAATAAATTATATTAAATAATAAATAAATTTATATTTATATTCAAAATTAAATTACAAATATAAAAAAGAGATAAAAATATTTAAGAATCGATTTATAGTAGGGGTAAGAGGTGGTGGCGACGATGATGGTGACAACGATTGCCATGGTGGTGGCGATGGCGGTGGCGGTGGAGATGGAGGTGGTGATAGTGGTTGCAGTGGCAGCGGCGACGGTGGTGGTGATAGTGGTGATGGGGGTGGTGGTGGTAGCGGTGGTGGTGGCAGTGGTGGTGGTGGTGAAGCGATTTCAAACATTATTTTTTTTTTTAAAAGTATTTATGATAAATAATTTCTAAAAATAATTTTAAAAAGTCAATCCAAACAGAATCTTAGAAGCGTATTTTTCCTATTAAATGTAGGGTGTTAATATTAGTCATTAGATTAATTTTAAAGTAAAATTTAAAATGATTTCAACCGCGAATAACAAAAGTCATTTTATTTATTTTTTGAGATTTAAATTATAAGCAATTTTATTATATAGATAGGCACCATACCATGACCGGAGGATAGTTGTGCATCATCTTATTTTATTAATTATTAAACCACAAATCAGTATAAGATTCTTCTATGTTGCTAATTATTATTTTCTATCCATCAACTCTGACACCATGATAACATCTATAATATAAAATAGAGTGGGACTTGAATAAGTCAATCGTACAGTCTTCATTCATCCAAATTTCAACATTTAAAGGCCCATAATCCATCTCATTCAAATTCAAATTCAAATTCATCACTTTTAACCCATAAATTTATTCAAAAATCTTATCTTTCAGTCCCTTCAGCTGCCACCAGTCACTTCTTTTCCTCAGTTCAACGGAAAAAATGGCTTGTACATCATTTTTTTTCCCCAGCCCTTATGTCAGATGCAATCTCTCTCCCTATGTTTCTTCTCACTCTTTCTCTCTATTTATCTCTCTCCCTCTGTTTCTTCTTACCACCATCCATCGCCGAAGTCAGCAACACCACCACTGCCCCAGCGACACCACCAGCAACATCGCACCGCCGCTGCTAACCCCTCCTAGGTATGCCTCATCTCTCTCTCTCTCTCTCTCTCACACACACACACAAACACACACACTAGGAAAAGTCGTGGTGAAAAATTAAGCATAGTTTTTGTAATCATTTTCCGTGTTTGGGTTTAAACTTAGTTCTGCTTCGGATTTGGGAGGCCCCATTTGCTGATTCTAGATACAAAGAGTAGGTGAAGGTTTGTGGGAAATCGCATTTGGGTTATGATGTTTGTTCAGTTTAGTGAAATGGGTCTCTTGCATTTTGCAATGGAATGTTAATGTGAATGTTTGTGCTGGGTTTTTGGTACTTATATCAATAGATGTGAAATGGGTCTCTTGCATCTTGAGGTTCTTGATAGTTTTTTTTGATTTTGGTATCTGGGTTTTTGTTGAGCTTTTGTTTGGTGACCTGGGTTTTGCTATAAAATGTGACTGGTGATCTTTGTTTTGCTCTACAAGTTCTTGATTGTATGGTTTTGCTATATTTTTATTTCTATTTGATAATGGCCATCCGTCTATCATTAGATGAATTTCTATTTTAAATTCATCACTTTTTTTTTAACTGAATATTTGGTGATAGATGATCATCCAGCTTGCAGCTATTAAAGTGTTTCATGGTTTTTGGGTTTTAGAATTTTTTAGTGGAAGATGTTATGTTGCCCATAGTTTTCTTCCTTTACTAACGAGGACCAAGGAAAAGGAAATGTTTATTGTGATTAGGTGTTTTTCTATGCCATTCTTGTGTTTTTCAAATTATTTAAGGCCTAATCTGTTATTTACTTGAGCAAAAAATAAGACCCTGAGATTGATTGAATGGTGTAGTAATATGCACCAAAAGCGATGCACACACCCGTAGTTGCATCATTAATTGGTTTCTTTTATTATATGCTATTGTCTAGTAGGTTAATTTCCTGGGTTAAATTTATTATTTTCATTCAATAATCATATACCCAGTTGTTCAGGTTATCAAAAGTTTGGTTATAGGAATATCTTTTGTTACTTAGTTGTTTTCTCCCTTTCTTTTTTCTTTTTTGTATGTTTTTTGGTTAAATGTTTCTATCACCAGTTGTCTAATGATAGACGGATGGCCATTGTCAGTGATGTTAGTTTTCCTAGAAATAAAAATGTAATGGTTTTGTGTTTTGGGTTTGTGTGTTTGGTGAGATGGACGAAAGTTCGGCGTACACACGTGATTTTAATGTTGTCTTGCACCAGGAAGTGTTCCTGGGTTCTGCTCACGTTTAGGTTTTGGGAAGGTGGCTGGTGAATTTTGAATGAATTCAAAGTTTGGATGTAAATATGTGGTGAATTTGAAATCAATTGATAATTATTTATAGATTTTGATTTGGTTATAGATTGAAATAAGTCGCAGTCAAATGATTTCTTGGTGATTTATCAATGAAGATAACACATTTTGATTTTTTTTTATGAAAGTTTTGTTAAATAAAATATGTATATAATTAAATTATATTAGACGGGGACTTACAGGGACGTAGATCTGCACTAATCAGTCGGTCTCAAATTTATTCATTCAACGATTAATAAATTACCTATCGTTGATAAAGACTTAAAAAACACATGGGCATACTCCCCATTAGCATCGTGAATTTGTTAACATGTAAAAGAAAAAAAGAATTAAGTAATCCGGTTGGAAAAAATTGATAGTGCATGATAGGATCTCAGCCTCATCTACTATTCCTGATATTGTAGAAAGATCGGTGGTTGAGAAAATATTAACAGTAAAGAAACATTGTAGCAAATTTATAATATAAAACAGGGCGGCTTCAACATCCAACGGCCTCAAATCAATTCATTCATCCGACAGTCATTAATCCTCTCTCATTTGCCCCCAAATTCATCTCTTTTTACTCAATATTTTTCAAAATCAGACCACCCTCAGTCACTTCATCTGTCAGAGACTCTCTAGTGACACCAAGTCATCCCTTCTCTCAGACAACCATACCCTCTCTTTCTCTCTCCCTTTATCTCTCTCTATTAAGCTCCAGCAACACCACGAGGAACACCGACAACACCACCACCATCGCCACTTCATCTGCAACACCACCACATCCCCAGCTACATAGCCAATGTCACCACATCGCCAGCGACACAGCCACGACCACACACCCCTCCCAGGTATCTTTCTTCTCTGTTTCTCTTTGCCCCGACCCTCTGTTTCTCTCTCTCCTCTACTTTCACACACACACACAATGCATACACACGTTAACACACCCATCAACCACACACTAACACACAAATAATTTCAAAACTAAGGTTGTTAAATGGAGTAAATTGATGTTGTTAATTTGTAGTTAATAGGGTTGTGTCTTTTCCTCTCTGTCTTCATCTCTTTGCACACACACAAACCTCCCTTTACTCCACCAAACATATTCACCAAATGTTCGATGAAAGATCTGATAGAGCTTTGTTCCTCTTTGTTCTTCAATTTTTTTTTTGTTTTTACTACACCGTGCTTCATCACTTATATGCAAATTGTTTTGGATCTCATTCTCTCTAATCATTTCATTTTTTTTTTCATTTTTTCCAGTGCAGATAACTGAAGTCCAGTGCAGGTATCCCCCCTCTCTCTGTCTTTTCACTCATTTCCACACTAGCCAAAAACCCCATAACTAGCATCTCCCTCGCATCGTTTCTCTCTTCACTTCACACAAATTAAATCTATCACACAATTTTTTTGAATTGGTTTTTGTGATTAATTGTTTGTATTTTTGGTTGATTTTGATGATTTTGGTTTTCTTTGTAAATATGTGTTATAGATTTGAAATTTTTGGTGTTACATCATTGAGTCACCACAATGGCCATTGATTCTAGCAGCCACCGCCATCGACGCCAGCCAGGTCTCTCTCTCTCTCTCTATCCACCGTAAAACCAACACAATACAGTTCCGCAATAGCCACCAACGCACCCCCACAATAATGCACCACAACACCC